AGAGACAGACAGACAGACAGACAGACAGACAGACAGACAGACAGACAGACAGACAGAGAGAGAGAGACAGAGAGAGAGAGAGAAAAGAAAAAAAAAGAAAAAACTTTATTTACTAAATAGGGAAAAATAGAAAAGGGGACGATCAAAGAAAAACAGTAAGAATGAGCTGTTGCTATTTATAGTTACTCATATGTCTGTGTCTGTCTGTCTGTCTTATCTGTCTGTCTTATCTGTCTGTCTGTTTGTCTCTCTCTCTTTCTCTCTCTCTCTCTCTCTCTCTCTCTCTCTTTCCCCCTCTCTCTCTCTCTCTCTCTCTCGCTTTCCAACTCGCTGTATTCAATATTCTGTCTCAATCTCTGTTTTTCTTCTTTCTTTTTTTTGTCCGACTGTCTTTCTTTCATTCTTTCTTTTTTTCCCTCTTCCTCTTCCAGACAGACAGACACTCAGACAGACAGACAGAGGAAGACAATGGAAAAAAGAAGAACACATGTATGAGAATCCAGAAAAGAACAGGAGGATTGAGCTTCAAACATTTCAGTCACGCGATTTTATGGGGAACATCATAATGCTACTGGTATTATAACGATCACCATTAGGAGTAGGGCCTAACTTAAAAGCGAAACAACATGGGTCTTTCGAAACAAATTCAGCTATAGCGGCTAGATCTTGAATACGTAGATCTATAATCTAGATCTAGGCCTAGACATAGCCTAAGCTTAGAGGCATAATTTAGTATTAATTCAATTATAAATTTCATTGACAGGCCTGCCTATACCAACCACAAGAAAGTTGTGCTTTCGCTTCATTATAGATCTATATCTAGATCTAGATCCAATTGTCACATACTACCAGTCCAACGAGATTCAAATGAAATTATGAAGGCGTAAACTTGCTTCAAGTTCGCAAGAGCGTTAGGCGTTAACTCATTGAGGACGTAGGCTAGACGACACATTACTTACATCACAGGCCTAGATCTACATCTAGAATCTAGATCTAGATCTATATCTAGATCTATGTTTACGTCCAATCAGCTGTAGAGCAAAGACAATGTTTCGGCACATTCCGGCGGATCATCATGAATCAAAAACATGAGTTTGGATATAGACTCTAGATAATCTAGATATAGATTCTAGATCTAGAATCTAGATCTAGATCTAGATTAGATATCTAGAAATCTAGATGTCTAGATTCCATTTCAAAGTTTGCATGTTGCTGCATGCTTTGTAAAGTTTCAGGTAACGGGGGGGGGGGGGGGGGGGGGGGGGGGGGTTGCCTCAAAACAGCACGCTTTCAAGCGATGTCGAATGACCAAAATACGCGTCCTGTATGAGTTAAAGTTAAATATAATAAAATTAAGGTAGGCTATTTGTAACATGTTATTATCTAAGCAAATAGCATCCAATTACATGTAACATTATGTTATTGTTTTCCCAATCGATAGCCTACTCACCAAGTCAGAATTCAAATCGGAGAGACTCCTTTGTCGTTGACCACGGAAATTCCAGTACAAGTTCGTAGCAGGGGTCAACTCTTTGTTCAAAATACAGCGTGCTTTTGAAACTTCGTTGACAAACTGAAAACCGCACTTCGGGTTGTTGGGTGTTTTCTCTATTAGGGGCCTAGAAGTTCACTGATAATTTTTCTTCTTCGAGATAGATAGTCGTGATGAGATAACGTTCACAAAGAAATCCAGAAGCCGTACTGGTGTGACGAGGCAGTGTGTGCCGCGTCTTATAGTAGCGCACCGCTAAATCTGTCGAAACGAAACCCAACAAGAATGACGATGTCCCAACATTGTTCGGGCTTGACTGAACACGATTTGGCGACTCCGCTTCTCGTCTGCATTGTGCGCCGGCTAAGCCAATCAGATTAGGTTTTCGTTGGGCGAGAAACCAACCGGAGCGAAGAATGAGGTCGCCTCCTCGCCTCGCCCCCCGTCGCCCCTTCCCCACGCACTAGGAGCCCACTCTGCACCACACATTTGCATACACACGCACGCAGCGAAGATCGGGGATCCCCAGTCCTCACACACGAAGCGAGGTCAAAGACGGGGAGCTTTCATTGATAAGGCTTGGACTTGTCCGGACATGAATAACGTTTCGCTCTTCCTGTCGTCTGCTACCTCTCGTCCGGACCTACTACCTGACCTGGAATACCTTTACCTGTCGCGACTCGTTCGCTAGGTAGGCTTGCCTGCCCGTGCAAACTGCTGACTGACTTGAAACCTGAAGAAACTGACGTAGGAGGCTCCGCTGTTTGGAGAAGACGGGACTCGCTAAATGGACATTTAAAGGTTGACACAGAGGGGGTGAAAGTTAAATGTGAGGGAGATGGATGGAGGGGAGATGGAGAGGAGGAGAGATGTAAATGTGAGGGAGGGGAGATGGAGAGGAATTGGAAAGTAAATAAAAAAGAGAGGGGAGAGGAAGAGGCGATGGGCAAATGAGGGAGAGAGAGGGGGGGAGGAGGTAGGGAGGGGGTGAGAAAGTAAGTGATCGAGAGAGAATGAGATAGAATGAGGGAGAGAGAGGGAGGGGGGTAGGGAGGGGGTGAGAAAGTAAGTGATCGAGAGAGAATGAGAGAGAATAAGGGAGAGAGAGAGGGGGGGGGGGTTGGAAAAGAAATAAAGAGTAAATATGACAGCAAAAGGGAAAAACACAACTAAAAAAATTCTTGTCGTTTCGAACTGACCATCAGAAGATCAAACGAGCCTTTCGAACAAATTACTGAGGTTTAAGTTAAAGCTAAAGGGACGAGACAGTATCGAGAGAGACAGGTCTGCAGAACGACACACTGATTGACACACAGATTTGGGAAAAGAAAAAAAGAGAAAAATACCAGAAGACAAATACGATGAGATTTTTGTGCTTTAAATTAACTCTTTAAAGACATATGTCCGATCAGTAGCACACCGAAGGCAATGTTGTGGCACATTTCAAACCTTAATACACAAATCAGAAACATGAATTTGTACATTTTAACTCTTTAAAGACGTAGCTGGAACATTAGACAGCGGACGAATGACATGTTGTGTGCAACATTCGAACAATCATACGATGACCAGAAGAAAATTATTTGCATACTTCATAATATACATGTTGTTGTCTGTCTTTTGGGCTTTAGATGAAAACAGACAGGACTGCAGAATCTGTAAGAATAATGAAGTTATAAATAGAATATGCTGCTTCTTTTTTTTTTTCATGTTCTAAAATAGCGAGTCTTCAAGCGTTATCGAATGTTAGAAGGCAAGTCGTCAATGAGTTAAAGGATATATAAATTACGTTGTTACCTGCTTTAAAAAAAAAAAAGTTTCACATAAAGAAAACAGTACTGAAAATCTGTATGAATAACCAAGTTATATTTCTTTTTGGAACAAAAACAAAACAAAAACAACTCCCCCACCCCCCCAAAAAACCCCCACCCAAGAACAAAAACAACAACAACAACAACAACAACAACAACAACAACAACAACAACAACAACACAGAATTGAAAAATCTGGAATAATAACGGAGATACGCTTTTTAAAAAAACCCACCAAAGCAAGCGTTTTCGAATGACAAGATTTTGTGTCTTCAATGAGTTAAGAGCCCGTTGTTTCACATGAAGATCTGAAGGTCCTTGAACGGTGTGTGAATGACCACAGGTGTGACTTGCCAAAGTAAACGGTCCCCTTTCGCCAGGATCGGCTGATCTTGAGGTCCAGATTGATACAAACACATACGCGCATAGCCTAGATTTGCACACACTTACGTACATACGCGCATAGCCTAGATTTGCACACACTTACGTACACACGCGCGCACACAATAACCCC